CTTTTCAAGAGGCAACTTGTTATAAAAATTTTTTTAAGTCTATCTAAGACATATTCATTCGCAACTTTTGTTGTGGACCTTCATTTTTCTCGGCAGTGAGTTGGCATCTTTGGTTAGATCTGAAACCATGACACATACAGACAGCTGCAAAAGAAAAACTCTTTAAAAGCTCACTATTTAGGTAAATACCTTTAAGATATATATTATTTTGAAGGTTTTGGTAAGCACGTAGTATAAAATCATTACCTGTTGTCAGTCAGCTGAAGCCGAAGAAAATTGTAAAATCTTAATAAGCATTTCAAGGAAGGTCTGAACCTCCTCGTAATCGAAATCTCAAAATAATTACAAAAGTTGGCGCAAGGCACTTACCCTTAGTGTACAAAAAATTGCATGTTTACAATTGCACCTGACAATTCCATTTAAATTTATTATTCCTTGACCGGCATGTCTGCAAATGGGTTTACGAAATATCTTATTTCTTTGACCTCCCAATGGGCTAAATCAAGCGAACTTTTCGCTGCCTTAGTCTAATATAACTCAAGCAATACATAAACGGAAGAAATAAATAGCAGTTCTCGTGAAAGCATGTTAGAATACATACTTGAAATTTGTTCTATTCGGTAACAGCCATACATTACATTGCATGTAACATAGAAGCACATATACACCAGAAAACTTTACAAAAGGATTATTTTCTACGCAATTTTACTTGTTCTGCTTTATTCACTCGAGCGTTTTGCATGAACGGGCATCCTCTACATGTAAAACTGAAGTTTACAGAGTAAGCCTTATTTCAACTTTTTTCCGAATTTTCCACTTTGCTAAAAAAGCTGATATTTTTATAAAGCTTTATATCCTTTTATACACCACAATATGCCCTATTATGGAGAACGACCATTACTTTATTGCTCTAAGACTTTGGGAGGCCGCAGTTCGGGCTGCGTTTGATTAACAGGGAGTTACCTGTAAAAATCCTTGGATTTCATGAGTTAGGTAACCTA